CCTCCTGAGGAGTCTTAGACCAATTCCCCAGGAACTTGAAGAGTCTCAAGCAAATTCCCCATAACAAATGAAGAGTTTGGCTTTTTATAACCACTAGGGGTGGAGGGAAAATCATTTCATGTGATTTAGTTCACAATAGCATATATGACAAGGAGCGTGGAGGAGTCAAGTACCATAAATTGAGAGCTGGCAAGTCACAGCATAGACTGCTTCTTAAATTTCTGTCCCAGAGAGAGCTACAGGGAGGTGTGACCTGACTCAGGCTATGGGCGCAAACCTAAAGAACCTATATTCCAACAATGTTTATTTTCTAGAACAATTCAGCTTTCAGTCTTGGTCAAAAAAGCCTCTCTCCACAGTGGACAATGGTCTACCCAAGGATTCATAACTGATCAAGTTGCCAAGAATAAGTAACTGCTAAATGCCTGCCTCTAAATAGTACATTTATGTTATCCTCTCTGAGGCTCAGCAAACATTGTAGAAAAGGGGACGGGACTATGGGAGCTGAAGGAGATAGAGTTGTGCTGGGGAACTGTTTTCTGAATATGACATGGCCATTGCAATTATTAACACAGCAGCTGTGATTGCTTGGAAAGATCTTGTAAAAAGTGGGGGAAAATCAAAAGAAAGGAAAGTTAGACACGAGGCTATGAAGAGGGGAAAGAAGGTGGGTATCTGTGGGAGTGGGAGGCAAGAGAGGGTAATGGGAGGGCGTGGATTGCACACAAGCACGATATTGTTAAAATTCAAGGAAATAGAATTTCAGCTAGGTATGGTAGCACATGCCTTAAATCCCAGCACTCAGGAGGCAGTATAGGCTTATCTCTATGAGATCAAGGCCATCCTGGTCTCCAAAACAAGTTACAGGCCAGCTGGAACTACAGGGAGACCCTATCTCAAAGAGACAAAAATCAATCAATCAATCAATCAATCAATCAATCAATAATAAATAAAGACTCTCCTGTGGGAAAAAGAAATGGCTGAGGACTTGGGGGCACCTAGAGAAGGAATTTGTCTTCTTGGAGAAAGATTTAACACTTGTCAGATGAAGTTTTGAAGGGACTGACTGTCTGAAGATATTTGGAGCTGGTAAAATTGTGGGCAGGGGAGCACACCTTGTCAGGATTGCTTAGTTATCTATCATCTATCTATCTATTATCTATCTGTCTATTATCTATTTATCTTCTATCTATCATATATATATATCATCTACCTATCTATCTACCATCTATTATCTATCTGTCATCTATATATCTATCTCTATCTATCTATCATCTTCATCTATTTTTGCTTTCTATTGAAACCCTACTCTCATATCATGACCATGAATATGGACTTGGAAGTCATCACCAGATCTCTTTGTACTTCTTCCCAATGTGCCCAAACTATTTTTTTCTGATTTCCACAATTAACATAAATATATGTTAATGATGGATTATTCTGCAATATTCTGCAATAGATTAAGAGTTTGGTTTCCCTTTTTCAACATCCTCACCAGAATTTGTCATTGTTTGTTTTTTTAATCCTAGTAATTCTGAGTGGCAAGATGAAATTCCAAAGTGGTTTTAATCTGCATTTCCCTGAGTTTAATCTGCAATTTCCTTCATTTTTAAGTATTTCTCAGTCATTTGAGTTTCATCTTTAGAGAACTCCCTATTCAGCTCCTTACTCCATTTTTTAATTGTGTTGGGTTTGTTTGATATTTAGTTTTTTCGAGTTCTTTATATAGCCTGTCTACTAATCCTCTGTCAGAGTTATACCTGGTGAAGATTTCTTCCTGTTCTTTAGGTTCTCTCTTCACTCAAATGATGGTGTGCTTTGCTGTTTCATATTGTTCCTTTTGTCCAAATTTGGGCCTAATGCTTGTGCTATAGGAGTTCTGTTCAGAAAGTCCTTTCCTATGCTTATACGTTCCAATGTATTCCCTGTTTTTCTTTCCATCAGATTAGGGGTACTAGATCTTATGTTGAGGTCCTTAACCCATTTGGAGTTAAGTTTTGTATATGGTGATAGATAGGGATCTACTTTCATTCGTCTACATGCCACTATGAAATTTGAATAGCAAAATTTTCAGTCACAGTGTCTTCAATATTTATTGTGCAAGACCTTCTACTTTCTTAGATTTATTCCAAGATATTGTATAGATTTTGAGGCTATAGTGAATTGGATTTTTCCTAGGTTTTTCATCAGGTATGTTTGTTGTTGGTACATAGGAAGGCTACTGATTTTTGAGTGTCAATTTATTATCTTGGAACCTATACCTGACATTGAGATCAGGCTTGGGAACCTGAAGCTAGACAATACACAGGACAAAGGGGAGAGCATAATACTCATTTTCTACAAAGTAGTTATAGTTTTCAACTGACTCCTAGTGACTTCTTGTTTTACCTACAAATTAAGATATCTCTCAACTCTCAAAAGAGAAGTTTCCTTGTGCAGCAAATGAGATTAACACACAAAAACACATAATTGGCCAATGTGCAAAGAAGAAGAGGCTGCAGAGTGTTTATCCCTGAGTAGGACTCCCATTTCAAACTTCTGTATCTCCAGGCACAGGGAATATTGGGGAAGGTTGTAAGAGCCAAAAGTGATGGATGACCACAAGGAATAGAGTTTTCAGAGGGAGCCAGTTACTCCTATGAACTCATAACAATAGTGACATCATGCACAAGTCCTATACAAGCCCCAACCAAACAAAATCTCACCATAGATCTGGGAAAGTGGGTAAGAAATCCCAACCAAAACTAAGGACTTTTTGACAACTGATTGCTACTGGGAGGGGGAGAGACAGTCTCTTTCAAGGATGGGATTCTTTGTAGGTGAACAAGGATGCAGTGGATGAACCCACATTAGAGGACATTTGGGGACTCAAATAAGATCTTATAGGCTTTACTATATATAAAAGAGCTCATTAAATTGGGCAAGGGGGCAGGAAGGGGAGGTGTGGATAGGGGAATGAAAATCTCAAGAATTCAAGAAAAAAAGAAGAGTTAAAAGCAGTGTGAAGCAAGCCTGTTATCCTAGTGCCCAGGAGGATGAGTCAGGAAGGCCTTGAGTTCAAGTTCAGTCTGAGCTGCACAGAAAAATTTTTCTCAAAAAGAAACAAATTCTTTTTCTTCTGTGTTTTTAAGTGTTCAATATAAAAATTTTAAAAATTTTATTGTTTAAGTTCTTTGCTTAATTGCTTTGGTTTACTTGTATATATTGTACTTACTATTTTTGAGTCTGTTGTGAACATGTTTGTTTTCCTGATTTAATTTCTAAGATTGGCATATAGGAAAGGTACTGATTTTTAATGATGGTTTTGTATCCTGGTGCAAGGCTGAAAGTGTGTTTCCATTCTAAGAGTTTTCCTCTTCACTCTTTAGATTCTCTTGCGGATTCAAATAAATCAATCAACATAATACAGAGACATTTGCACATCCATGTTCATTTCGGGACTATTCGTATAAAGAGATATTTTTTGGTTTCTGGTGGCCTCAGTATGTAGCACTGAGTGGCCTGGAACTGGTTATATAAACCAGGCTTGCCTCAAACTCACAGAGATCCACCTGACTTTGCCTGGGAATAAATATTTGTACCAACTCACCTGGCTCAGGACTATTCATAATAGACAGACTGTAGAATTAGTCCACCTATCCAATGACTGGATAAAGCAAATGTGTTATTTTTTCACGATGTACATTTATTCATCCATAGGGAAGTAGAACACAATGTACTTTTCAGGAGTATGGGAAAGGAGAAGATATCAAAAGGATATCAGAGTATATGGTACAGTTTAATGAAAATATTTTTATGAAACCCATTACTATTTACAATAAAACACACCAATAAAAATGAAAGTAAAAAATAACCAAAAATGTTTTAAATTAAGGTTTAGAGAGGAGAAAGATCAGAGTTCCTTCTTTCACTTTAAGTCACAGATGTTACCCCCATGAACTACCGTCAGATGGTGTATGACACTAGCTTAGCAGCTGGGATTTGGGTTCCTGTGGCTGAGCTTGAGTGCTGTGTGGGCACTTCTTTGTTTACAATATTATTATTACTATTATTATTACTGTTATTATTATCATTAGGTTAACTACCTCTTCCTTTAGGCTCTGTCTCTGGGCTGGTTCTTCAAGGAGCTATGGTGCAGACCCTTGTTATGAGTCCATAAATCCTGAGAAATATGACACTGTATTGTTAGACAAGGCTTGTGTCACTGAGGGATAAAAGTTTTCCACTTTTAGAGGCCTATGGGAACCTCAAGCTATGGGCACACCATGAATTGTTGAGCTCTGGGTCAGTGAAAGTGAGATCTGGTGAGATGGGGACACTAGGGGCAACCTGGTCCTCTGCAAATGTGCCTGGATATGTATCTATGGCTGGAGCCCCCATGGCATGTTCTCCCTGTTCTGATGTTGTATGACCCATTCCCAACTTTAGTCCTCTAGATTGTTGACAGTCTTCTACAGTCATCATTGAATTCCTTAATTATATTTGGGGTAGAATTAATTTTATTTCTGCTCAGACTTAACAAAGATTTTAGTCAAATCAGTGTTGGCCATGACAGTAGTACAGCCTTCACACAAGTCACATATACTCTATCCTTACCCTATTTTTCTTCTCAGAATTCGTTATGATCAACTTTTCAGTCCCCTGCTACTAGTCATCAGATGAACATGAAGGAAGGTGGTGTCTCAGAATTGTCCCTTTCATCAGTTGCAACTCTAAAACAAGAGCATAAAGTAGACACCAACAGAGTCTTAGAAATGGGAATGAAACATAGCTAAGTCTACCGAAGAGTAAAATGAAGGAAGAAATTGCAGGATATGGTCAGAGACGCCAACAGAGAGCTGGTTAAATTGTACCTGTTTGATGAAGGAGGCTCCTGGCTTGGCAATCCACGTTATGACCCCCCCCCACCCACACACACTTACAAGGTGCCAGGAATACCCAGAAATCCCAAAGTGCTTAGAAATGAAATGCACATAAAATAAATGAGATAGAGCAGGATATATGATTGAAAATATTTTATTGAGTATTTGATGAGTGCAGGGATTAGGGCTGGGGCAGGGAAGGGGTACTTGGGTGTACTGCTGGTCCCATCTGTAGATGGGATGAGGGTTGGGGAACCTAGGAACACTCTGCAGCAGACACACTCTTCTCCACCTTGTTCCCTTCGTGAGTGACCTGGCAGGTGTATGTTTTTCCAGATTTCCACTCGTTCGCTGTCAGTGTCAGGTAGCTACTAGCCATGTACTTGCTGTTGTTCTGTTTGGAGGGCTGCGTGGTCTCTATACCCTGGTTGACAGCTGTGCCGTCAGCCTTCCAGGCCACTGTCACAGCACCTGGATAGAAGTCACTTATCAAACATACCACTGTGGCCTTGTTAGAGCTTTGTTCCTCAGGGGAAGGTGGGAACAGCGTGAGCGTGGGCTTAGCCTGGGGCTGACCTGTGGAGTAGAGGAAAGGAAGGAGGTCAGAGGCCTGGTCACCACAAAGGAATCCCTAAGCAGCGTGTGGAAGAGTCCTTCATTTCAGGAACTGTGTGTGAACATTCAGAGCACAGAAGATGTACTCCCTCTGTACCTAAGAATTGTGCACCTGGACACTTGTACATCTCTCCTGATACCTCCCTAGACCTTGGCCTCCCACATAGACATATGACCTCCACTTTCCTGTCCCTGCCCCTTTTATCAGCTCTTTAGGCATGTCTACAGTCTGTCTCTTTCACTCTGCAAACATTTCTGACATGAAACCTGTGCTCTAACAAGCCTGAACTTTGATTTTAGGAGTAGTTTTTTAATCCAAATCTGTGTCTCCTGGAGCCTCTGTAGTGGAGCCAGGACCTCTGCTCATCAAACTGTATGTCTGCCTGTCCTCAGTCATCTCATTCTGCAGAATGGAGGGAAGGTACACTTTCTTGAGTTCTCTAGTTTTTATGCATTAGGATCAGCTGTATGTGAACTCAAGTGCTCAGTCTTCTAAGCAGTGTGTCTTAGACAGACCCTTGAGCTCATCTCCAAAAAGCATTCATCAGTCTCCTGTCTTTTGTGTTCCTGTGTTCAGAGACTCCCTTCCCTTCCCTTTCTTCTGCTCACTATTTCCTGAATTTCAAATTGATTTCTGATCTGTTCATGGCTTTCCGTGGTAACTTGGGGATCCTTTTCAACTTCTGCCTATTCTGCGAAATAAATGCCAAGTTCTGCTCCCCAAGGTACCTAGCTTCTGACATGACATTTCCCAGGCTTAGCACTGAATGTTCTAGGTTTACCAAATTCAACCCCAGTCTTTCACTCTACTGACTCTTGTCTTCATTCTCCACAAGACAGGGATTCGCTTTACCCATCATAAAGTTCACCAGAAAGATAGAAAGAAGCCCATAGGGAATGGTAAGAGAGCACTTATCAAAGAGCTGCACTCAATATAATGCTGTATAGTTAAGCATTAGTAGTTCATCTGCTTCTAACCCCCATCTTTGAAGGCAGAGTCAATCATCTGAGGCAAGATTGATAGGGGCAAGAGACAAGTTCCCCAGTCATGCTTCATCGTAAAGCTGTATATCAACTAAGAGATAATCCAGAATATAGCACAGAAACAGCAGATACCAGATAATCATCCCAAACCTTGGAGGTTACAACAGAGGAGGGGGAAGGAATCATTCACCTACTACGGTCAGTTTGGTTCCTTTGCCGAACACCCAGCACTGTGATACAGTCTCATGCAAAAATCCCTCCCTGCCCACCACCCCTGAGCTCAGATCATATCCATTAGAATCTGAAGGTGGCTACTTCTGCTCTGATGGCCCTTCCTATAAGATCTCCCATCTCCCCTAAGCCCAAAGCAGAAGGCAAGCTGTTCAATCCTTATGTCTGAATAGAACACATGAGAAAATTGTCCTAGAGAGAGAAAACAGACATTCCCAAGACAGCAGGAAGTAAACAGACTGGAAAATATCATTAAAACCACTTACCTATGATGGTGAGCCGAGTTCCATCGCCAAAACCACAGTGATTGAGGCGCTAACTAAAACCTGTGTGGCCAACACCTGCTTCTGCCCCTTGGGGGCAAGGCTAGAACAGAAACTAGCTGACTGTGATGGGTGGGGCTGTGTCCTCAGATCAAACAGGTGGATGGTCACCACTCCCAGGCCTCTCCCTGTCACAGGCAGATACCTCCATGACTATTCCCACCCCATGCTTCTATCTGATACTATCTGTGCTGACAGCTGTATAGACACGGGAAGTCCTTAGCAAATCCTGACTGACTTACCCTCTCAGGTTTCTTTGTTGTGTCATAGAGACCTGTGTCTCTTGACCTTATTTCAAAGCCTCTGAAATTCTTCCCCACAAGTTTATATAGCCTAATCAGCTCCTTCTTTGGACCCAGGAATACTGAGTCATTCCAGACTTAAGATGGTTCCGTATGGAAAATTCTGTTTGCATTTCAACCTATGGAGATTTATCTCAGTTACAATTCTCACTCATGGTTTCTCAGCATATGGGATGTGTCCATCACTCCATTCACCTACCCTTTATGCATGTACACCTACATACATACATACATTCAACAATTGCCACAAAGCAGCCATCTAATTGTTTTTCCTGTTGGAACAGGGTAGGATTTCCGTCTTTCACCTTCACAACTTTTAATGGCAAAGCCACACAGAACCTCATCTCCGTCAGCTTTCTAGTCTCTCACAGCACCTGGCATCCCTCAAACAGACCTGCCTTTCTGCTCACTCTCTTCTACATGGTGATGAAACTGCCTGCATTCCTCTTTCCCTAGATTTCCTTTTCCCTGGTCCACACAGGGAAGTTGATTCTTAGTTTACCTAGCACCTACCCTGTCCTCTTCTAACTCTTTCTGCATTGGGCCTACTCTGTGAATTTACTCTTTAAACCCAAAATCGTCCAGGATCTCAGATCTCAGTGTCCAGATATACCTTTTCTTTTTAGTTCCAGATTCATGTATGGTATTTCTACTTGAATGTTCTACAGGATCCTCAAACTCAATAAGACCCAACAACTCACTTCTATGAAAGCTTGATCCTAGTGTGAAGTGATCCCAGAATGATTTCCTCTCATTGATCCAACATGTTTCTCATTATTCTGTACAATACAGCATGAATTAAAATACTCAAAAGAAAAACACAAAGCACTCAAGTTAAACTCTAAAAGTTCGTTATGGCAACAATAAACATGTTTTGCTCACGTCTAAATTTATCTCCATGTTATTTACATTGGAAGATGTATTGTGACTACCGTGTTTATTTTTCCTTTTCTTTCTTTTAAAAATGTTTTATTGGTGACTTAAGACTTTCATGCTATGCATCTTTTGTTTAATGGATAAGTGCATTAAAATGTAACTGACAGTGAAAGTGCAAAACCGAACGCAAAGCTTCATGGTTTCATAGTAGCCAAGATAACTGTATAGAAGTTCACAGAGATGTACAGAATTTTGGAATGGGCCAGTGTTTGTTTGAGTACCTGTGCTAATCTACCTGTGTGATGCATTTATTTGTAAGTTCATTATACTACAGTGATTTTTGTGAAATAAAAAGATAAAACACAACCATAGCAATAGGTACATAGAGAAAGCTGACACAAAATTTATTTTAATGAGATTTATTATAGTGAAAGGGTCTCAAAGCCTTGCTCAGGCCTGAAGATGGGAGGCAGAGTATTAAAAAATTGTTTGATGGGATCATAAAGAAAGAGAGAAGAGTCCCTTTAAATCCCAGAGAGATGCTTAATCAAGAAGAAGAATGAGAGAGAGATAGGATGAGAGAGGGGAGGGAGAGAGAGAGAGAGAGAGAGAGAGAGAGAGAGAGAGAGAGACTGTGAGAGAGGGACTATGAGAGAGAGACTATGAGAGAGGGATGGCATAATCCCCTGAGGAATCTTGGACTGATTCCCCAGCAGACTCCCTGAGGAGTGTCAGGCTAATCCTCTTAGAACAAATGGAGGGCTTGACTTTATACAACTTTTAAGGCTGGAGGGGGATATCACTTCATGTGATTTAGTTCAGCACAGCATATGTTTCAAGGAGCATGGAGGAGCCAGGTACCATAAATTGAAAGCTGTCAAGTCATACCGCAGACTGCTTCTTAAATCTGGGTCCCAAAGAGAGCTATAGGGAACGCGAGACCTGATTCAGGCTATGGGCTCTGGCCTAAAGAATCTTTATTCTAACAATGTTTATTTCCTCTAACAATGCAGCTTTTAGCCTTGATTTTTTTTAAAAAAGTCTCATTCTGCAGTGGGCAATGTCTGTCCAAGGATGCGTAACTTGTCAAGATGCTAAGAATAAGTGACTTCTAAGTGTTTGGCCCCATAGTACATTTATCCTCCCTGAGGCCCAGGAAATACTGTAGAAAAGGGGGTCGAACTGTGAGAACTGAAGGATATTGTTACAACATAAGGAAATAGACTTTCGGCTGGGCATGGTAAACACATGCCTTTAATCCCAGCAGTCAGGAGGCAATGGTAGATCTCTGTGTGACCAAGCAAGGCCAGTCTGGGCTCCATAGCATGCCAGCTTGGGCTACAGGAAGACCTTGTCTCCAAAAGACCAGAAAAAAAGTTTCCTCAGGAATCTCCTGTGGGTAAAATAAATGACTGAGGACTTGGGGACATGGCGCGTGTGAACTTGTCTCCTTGGAGAAAGATTTAAAATTTATCAGATGAAATTCTGAAGGGGCAGACCTTGCCATAGATATTTGGAGCAAATGCAACTACAGTACTGTGCAGGGGAGCATGCCTTGGCAGGACTTCTTAGATATGGATCTTTAAATTTAAACCCTACCCTTGTGTCAGGACCATGAAGACAGACTTGAGGTCATCTACAGATCTCTTCGTCCTTCTTCCCAGTGTGTGCCATATTGATTTTTCTTTGATTGTATATATATATTATATATTATATATATTTAAAATTATTCTACAGTAGAGTGATTAAAAGAAGAGTTGATTTCCCCTTTCTCTACGTCCTCACCAGCATTTGTTCTTTGTTTTTTGGGTTGTTGCAATTCTGGGGAGTAAGATGAAATCACAAAATGATTTTAATCTGCATTTCCATGGTATTAAAAGATATTGGAGATTTTTTTAAGCATTTCTCATTTGAGTTTCATCTTTGCAGAACTCCCAGTTCAGCTCTTTGACTGACTTTTTAAGTGTGTTGGGTTTTTTTTTTTTTTGAGTTCTTTATATACTCAAGTTACTAATCGTCTGTCACAGGTAAAATTTTTCCTGTTCTGTAGCTTTCCTCTTATGCACATGATCCCGTCCTCTGACGTTTCATATGGTCCCATTTGTCTGCAGTTGGACTCAATGCTTGTGCTATAGATTCTGTTCATAAAGTCCTTTCCTGTGCCTATACATTCCAATGTATTCCCTACTTTCCTCTCTATCAGATTCAGGGTGTTAGATCTTACATTGAGGTTCTTGATCCAACTGGAGGTGAACCTTGTGTGTGATGAGAGACAGAGATTCAATTTCATTCTACATGCTACTGTCCAGTTTGTCTAGCACCATTTCTTGGACATGCTGTCTTTTCCACAGCATGTATTCTTGCTCCTTTGTCTAAGTCCTGGTGACTGTAAACACATGGATTTAAATCTGGGTCCTCAGTTCTGTCCCCCTGCTTCAACGTGTCTGTTTTGATGTTAGTACTATGCAGGTTCTATTACTATAGCTCTGTAGAATAATTTGTGATCTGGGATTCTTATGCCTCCAGAAGCTCTTTATTGTTCAAGATTATTTTGGCTATCCTGGATTTTTGTGTTTCCATATGAAACAAGATTATTTTCTTCAATTTCAGTGCAGAACTGTGTTGAAAATTTAATGGGTATTGCATTGGAATTTTAGAATGATTTTGGTAGGATGGCCATTTTCACATTACTAATCGTAATGAGCCATGAACAGAATAGATATTTCTGTTTTCTTGTGTCTTTTCCAATGTCTTAATGTCTTAAAATTTTTGCTGTGCAAGATCTTCACTTCCCTTCTTATATTTATTCCAAGTTATTTTATTGATTTTGTGGCTATTGTGATTGGAATATTTCATTGATTTTTTTCTTGGTATGCTTTTTGTTGGTATACAGGAAGGTTATTGATTTTTGAGTGTTAATTTTATATCCTGGAACCTATCCCTGAGACTGATATAGGGCTTTGGAATTTGAGGCGTGATAAATCACAGGGCATAGGGAATGCCGTATCACTAATTTTCTACTAATATAGTATTAAACTGGTTCTTAATGACTTATTGTTACACTCACAAGCTAAGGCATCTCTCAACTCTCCTCAGAGAAGTTTCCTGATGTAGAAAATGTGATCAACATGCAGAAACCAATGAATGGTCAATGTGCAGAAAACAAGAGGCTACAGAGTGTTTATCCTTGAATGAGACACCCATTTCGAACTTCTACCTCTCACTGGGCAGATATCATTGGGGAAGATTGTAAGAACCAGAAGTGGTGAATGACCACAAGGAATGGAGTTTTCCATTAAACCCTTATTGGGTTTAATGCTATATATTGTGTCAGTTAATCATACGAACTCAATACAATTATAACGGCGTTCTTAAATCAAGCTTACAAGCTCAGACCAGACAAAATCCCAGCATAGATGAGGGGAAGTGGGTAAGAAATCCCAACCCAACCTAAGGAACTTTTGACAACTGATTGTTGGTGGGAGGGGCAGAGCCAGCTTCTTTCAAGGATGGGACTCTTTGTAGGTTAACTAGGCTTCAGTGGATGGACCCACACTGAAGGGCATTTGAGAACACAAATGAGACCCTGTAGACTTTATTATTTATAATATGGGTCATTAAATTTAGCAAGGGGCAGTAAGGGGAGGTGTGGGAAATTGAACAGATCTAAATGTCATTTCATTATGTTGTCTGAAACTAAAGAATTCAATAAAAAAAGAAAGACTTGAAAGGCTGTGGTGCAAGCCTGTTGTCAGAGTGCCAAGCAGGATGAATCAGGAAGATCTTGAATTCTCGTTCATTATGGATGTCACAGAAAGAAATATTCCTTAAAAATAAAAAAATTCTTTCTTCAGTGTTTTAAATTTTTCAATATCAAGGTTTTAAAGTTTTCATTTTCGAGGTTATTCACTTGTTTGTCTGGGTTTGATCCTGTATATTGTGAAATTATTTTTGAAGATATTACGAATGTTCCTGTTTTCCAGGTTTAATTTCAAAGCATTTGTATACAGGAAAGTTACTGATTTTTATGATGATTTTGTGTCCTGGAACCTGACTGAAAGTGTTTTTCCATTCTGTGTTTTCTGATGGCATCTTTAGATTTTCTTATGGATACAAGTAAATCACATCAGCATAATGCACAGACACTTGCACACCGTGTTCATTTCAGAACTATTCCTAGAAAGAGTGGGGTTTTTTGGTTTTCCAGGGGTCTCACTATGTAGCACTGGGTGACCTGGAGCTCACTATGTATACCAGGTTAGCCTCAGATTAACAGAGATCCACCTGACTTTGCCTGGGAATAAAAGACTACCAATGCACACGGCTCAAGACTATTCATAATAGCCAGGTTATAAAATTAGCCCACATACCCAATCAATGGATAAAGAAAATGTGTTGTTTGTCCATAATGGATATTTATCCATCCATAGGGAAGAATAAAATGATGAACTTTTCAGGAATATGGGAAAGGAGAGGATATCCAAAGGATTCCAAATATATGGTATATTTGAATGAAAATATCCCTATGGAACTCATTTCTATGTACAAAAGATAAAACCGTAAAATAAAAATGAAAACTAACATAAAAGATTAAGTTTTGAAGATGTAGCAAGCCTTTGAATTCAATACCAGGCACCGAAAACAATTATTTAGTGATGGGTTGATGGAAAGGCATCTTTACTTTGCCTCTGTCCTAACATTTTTAGCTCAATGTTCTCAGCAATTAAGAGTCACAGCAAAATGATGAGGAGTTGTTCCTCTATGTAGCATATTGGGTAGAGCCTGGCGTAGCACCCAGCAGGGGCATTGAGAGGAACAAGAGCAGAGTCCCTCACTTCTGCTTTAAGTCACAGATGTTACTCCACGAACCACAGAGATGCCGTATGACACAGCATCTGCTAAGCTAATTACAAGCTGGGGTTGAGCTCCTGTGGCTGAAGTCAAGCATTAGGCTGCCCCTTCCTTGTTTGCAGCATTGCTTTGGAAACTCCCTTTTCAGACTTCACCTCTGGGCTGGTTGTTCAACAAGGAGCTACGGTGTGGACACTTGCCATGAGTCCATAAATCCTGAGAAATATGGCACAAGGCCTGTGTCACTGACAGATAAAAGTTGTCCACACTCAGGGGCCTATGGTAACCTCAAGCCATAGGTGCACCCTGAGTTGTTGAGCTTTGAATCAGGGAAGCAGTGAGATCTGGTGGGGTGGGGAGACCTGGGACAACCTTGTCCTCTCCAAGTGCACCTGGATATTTAACTATGCCTGGAGCCCTCAGGGCAGTCACTCTGCACTAATGTTGTATGACCCATCCCCAACACTAGCTCTGCAGTGGACCCTTGACAGTCTTCTACAGTCATCATTGAATTCCTTAATTATATTTGGGGTAGAATTCATTTTACTTCTGCCCAGGCTTAACAAAGCTTTTACTCAAATCAGTGTTGGCCATAACAATAGTACAATTTTCACCCAAATCACATATACTCCGTCTTTACTTCACAAATACTTCCTAGTATTTATTATGATCAACTTTCCAGCCACCTGCTACTTCTCATCTGACTTACACAATAGGAACATGTAATCACACTAGAATTTTCCCTGTCTCCGAATTGCAACTCTAAAACAAGCATAGAACGCAATTCCCAATAGAACCTTAGAAATGGTAGTGATGCATAACCACGTCTATTGAAGAGCGTAATTAAGTGAGCAATTGTGTGATGTGGTCAGAAATCCAGCAGACAGCTAGGAAAATTGCGTTTGTGTGAACAAGCAAGCTACATGTGTTATCCCTGTTATGAATCTGCTTACAACCACAAGGTTGTAGGACTCCCCCCACATATTACCCTGAAATCTCAGGGTGGTTAGAAATGAAATGCACATAAAAACAAATGAGATAAAGCACATATGATTGAAAATATTTTATTGAGTATTTGATGACTGCAGGGATTAGGGCTGGGGTAGGGAAGGGGTACTTGGGTGTACTGCTGGTCCCATCTGTAGATGGGATGAGGGTTGGAGAACCTAGGAACACTCTGCAGCAGACACACTCTTCTCCACCTTGTTCCCTTCGTGAGTGACCTGGCAGGTGTATGTTTTTCCAGATTTCCACTCGTTCGCTGTCAGTGTCAGGTAGCTACTAGCCATGTACTTGCTGTTGTTCTGTTTGGAGGGCTGCGTGGTCTCTATACCCTGGTTGACAGCTGTGCCGTCAGCCTTCCAGGCCACTGTCACAGCACCTGGATAGAAGTCACTTATCAAACATACCACTGTGGCCTTGTTAGAGCTTTGTTCCTCAGGGGAAGGTGGGAACAGCGTGAGCGTGGGCTTAGCCTGGGGCTGACCTGTGGAGTAGAGGAAAGGAAGGAGGTCAGAGGCCTGGTCACCACAAAGGAATCCCTAAGCAGCGTGTGGAAGAGTCCTTCATTTCAGGAACTGTGTGTGAACATTCAGAGCACAGAAGATGTACTCCCTCTGTACCTAAGAATTGTGCACCTGGACACTTGTACATCTCTCCTGATACCTCCCTGGACCTTGGCCTCCCACATAGACATATGACCTCCACTTTCCTGTCCCTGTCCCTTTTATCAGCTCTTTAGGCATGTCTACAGTCTGTCTCTTTCACTCTGCAAACATTTCTGACATGAAACCTGTGCTCTAACAAGCCTGAACTTTGATTTTAGGAGTAGTTTTTTAATCCAAATCTGTGTCTCCTGGAGCCTCTGTAGTGGAGCCAGGACCTCTGCTCATCAAACTGTATGTCTGCCTGTCCTCAGTCATCTCATTCTGCAGAATGGAGGGAAGGTACACTCTCTTGAGTTCTCTAGTTTTTATGCATTGGGGCCTCCTCTCTATGAACTCAGGTACTCAGTCTTCTACTCAGTGTGTTTTAGAGAGAAAAGGGAACCCCCCTCCCTGAAACATTCATCGCTCTTTCTTCTCTTGCCTTCCTGTGTTTGCAGCCGTACTTCCCTTCACTCTCCCAATAAGCTTCCTGAGCTGTAGGTCGATTTCTGACGTTCATGGCTTTCCATGGCATCTCGGGGATGCTTTCTACCTTCTGCTTGTTTTGGAAAATGCATCCCAAGTTCTGCTACCCAGGGGACCTGGCCTCTGGCATGATGTTTCCAAGGTTTAGTGCTGAATATTCTGTTTTCCTAATTCAACCTGACTCTCTTCCTCCAGTATGTTTTGGCTTCCATTCCCATAAGACCATGATTCATTTTACCCCTTGTAAAGTTCACCAGAAAGACAGAAGCCCATAGAAGATGGCAAAGGACTTATTAAAGAGCTGCACACATACAATACAAAGATAGATAGTTAAGCATTGGTAGCACCTCTGCTTTGGAACCCCATCGTTATAGGGCACCAGCTGAGACAAGACAGGGAGAGGCCAGAATTCAGTTCCCAAAGTCAGGTTTCCACAGAAAGCTGAATAACCACTAAGAGATAATCCAGAATATGGCACAGAGACAGCAGATAATCACCCCAAACCTTGGAGGTAACAGTAAAGGAGAGCAAAAGAATCACTCACCTATGACGGTCAGTCTGGTTCCTCCGCCGAACACATAACACTGTGTTACAGTCTCATGCAAAAACCCCTCCCTGTCTACCACCTCTCAGATCAGGTCATATCTATTAGACTCTGAAGGTGGCTACTTCTGCTCTAGTGACCCTTCCTACAGATTACCACAAGACTTCCCATCTCCCCCAGCCTCAAAGCAGAAGTCAAAGTATTTAGTCCTTATGTCTGAGGACAGCACAGGACAAAAATCTCCCAGAGAGAGAAAAAACAACCTTCCCAAGACAGCAGGAAACAAGCAGACTGGGAAATATTATTAAAACCACTGACCTAGGATGGTTATCTTTGTCCCAGAACCAAAAACATAACATGGTGCCTGAGGCTCTAACCCAAACCCGTGGGGGCAGCACCTGGTCCTGCCCTCTGTAAGCAAGGCTGGAACAAAATCTAGCTGGCTGTGATGGGTGGGGCTCTGCCCTCAGCTCAGCCCAGGTGGATGGCCAACACCCCAGGACTCTCTATGTAACAGGCAGACAGCTCCGTAGCTTTTGTCCCACCCCGTGCTCCCCTCCCAGATACTATCTGTGCTTAGAGCTATAATAGGTTCAGTGAGTGCTAAGCAGTTCCTGACTGACTTTGCCTCTCTGTTGTTTTTGGCATGTGACATAGAGACCTATATCTTTGGCCTCATTGCAAAACCTCTGAAATTCATCTACACAAGTTTGTGTAGTACAGTCTAATCAGCCTCCTCTTTGGATCCAGGTATACGGGGTCATTTGTGATTTAAGATTCTTCCACATGGAAAATTCTAGTTGCATTCCTACCTATGGAGATATAGCTTAGTCCCACTTCTATGTGTGGTTTTTCAGCTTATGGTATGTGTTCATCATTCCATGTATCTACCCATCCATGTATGCATACCTACCTACATACACACATACATATAATTGCCACAAAGCAGCATCTGTTTTTTTCATGTTTAATAGGGCAGGACTACCCCGTCTTTTGCCTTAAAAGTCCATTTATTAAAACTTCCCATGCCAAAGCCACAAAGAACCTTATCTCAATAAGTTTTCTTGTCCCTCACAGCAACTGGTATCCTTCAGAGAGACTTGCTTTTCTGCTCAGTTTCCTCTCAGTGGTGATGAAACTGCCCACAGTCCTGTTCCCTTGGATTCCCTTTCTCCTTGGTCTGTACATGGCTGTTGATTCTTAGATCACTTATAGCCTGTCCTGTCCTCTTCCTACTGTTTCTACATTGGACCCACGCTATGTGCTTACTTTTCAAACCCAAAAAGGTCCAGGGTCACAGAACTGTGTCTAGACATGAGCTTTCTTTTTAGCTTCGGATTTGTGTATATTATTTCTACTTGAATTTTCTTCAGAAACCACCAGTAACTAACCACAACTAACTTTAGCCCCAGCTAAACTAATTTCCACAAAAGCTTCATCCTCTGCAGGTCTTTTCTTCACCAATTCTTTCCAATTCAGCGTGTGAAGCCATCTCAGAATGTTTTCCTCTGATTGGTCCAACATCTTTCTTCTTATTACTCGGGACAATTCAACATGCATTAAAATACTCCAAAGAAAAAGACAGAGCACCCAAGCTAAATGCTAAGAGTTCGTTGTGGCAAGATCCTTATGTTTTGTCCAAATATTAATTTATATCCCTTGATAATTTACTTACTTTGGAACATTATCTATTGAATTGTGGCTACAATATGATTTTTTCTTGTCTTTATTTAAAATTTTTTGTTTGTTCTTTAAGAATTTCATACAATGCATTTTTGTGTGATGGGTAAGTACAAAAATATGTAATTGATAGTGAAAGTATAAAACCCTAAGCAAAGCACCACGGCTTCATACTGGACACTCTAAATCTATAAACATCCACTGAGATGCATAGAAATTTAAACTGGGCCAGGGTTTGAATCACTAAGTCAATTTAGCTTTGTGATGTTTTTACCTGTATGTTCATTACAATGAAGTGGTTTTTATGAAATAAAAGATAAAACAGGTTGATAGCAGTAGATCCACAGAGAAAGCTTACACAAAATTTCTTTTAATTTGATTTATTATAATTAAAGAGCCTCACAGCCATGATCAGTCTTTAAGGTATATGGAAAGCATAGACAGAAACAATACAATTTATGGAGCTCTAAACATGATGGGGTCATAAAGAGAAGGAGAAGATTCCCTTTAAAGCTTAGAGAGATGCTTTATTACCTGTGAGAATCTAGACATAATCCTGAGGAGAGCCAGGCCAATCCCCTTAGGACAAATGAAGTATTTCACTTTTTATAACCTTTAGGGAAAAGGAGGGAAATTTCGCTTTATGTGACTTTATTCACCATAGCAATGTGACAGGGAACACGGAGAAGCCAAGTACCAGAACTTGAGAGATGTCACATCACAGCACAGTCTGCTTGTTAAATCTCTGTACTACAGGGAGGCATGACCTGATTCAGGCTGCAGGCTCTCAGCTAAAGAATTTGTATTCAGTAATGTTTATTTCCTAAACTAATGCAGCTTTCAGTCTTGGTCAAAAATGTCCCATTCTGTAGTGGGTAATGGTCAGTGCAATGATTCATAACTCGCCAAGCTTCCAAGAATGAGTGACTGCTAAGTGCTTGGCCCTAAATAGTACATTTGTGTTGTCCTCTCTGAAGCCCAGGGAACACTGTCAAAAAGGAGATGGAACTATTAGATAGAGTTGTGCTGAGGCACTGTTATCTGCATGTGACATGACTATGGCAATTATGAACACAACAGTTGTGATTGACTGGACAGGGCTTGAAAACCTGGGGGGAAATGTAAAGAAAGAAAGGAGAGTGAGATACGAGGCTAGGAAGGGGAATGTTTGAAAAGAAGAAGGGCATCTACGGTCATGGGAGCTGAGAGACGGTAGTGAGAGGCAGTCAGTCACATACAAATGTGATATTGTTAAACTCCACCGAAACAGAATTTCAGTCAGGCATGGTGGTGCACGCGTTGTATCCCAGAATTCAGGAGGCAGAGGCAGGTAGATTGCTGTGAGATTGAGTTCATCCTGGTCTACATGGCAAGTTACAGTCTAGCTGGGGCTACTTGGATATACTGTCTTTAAAAACAAAAAAAAAAGTAGAATTTTCCCTGGAATCTCCCACTGGGAAAAGAAATGTTTGAGGACTTGAGGGCACCAAGAAGAGGAACTTGTTTCCTCAGAGAAAGATTTAAAACTTATCAGAAGATCATCTGAAGGGACTGACCTTTCTGGAGATATTTGGAGCTGGTAAAACAGTGGGCAGGGGAGCACCTTGGCAGGACTTCTTAGTTACGTGTATCTCCTGCTTTCTACTTAAACCCCACCCGCCTGTCAGGACCATGAAGATGGACTTGAAGGTCATCAACAGATCTCTTTGCCCTTCTGCCTCATGTGCCCCACATTAATTTTTTTCCAGATTTTCGCAATATATATCTATATATGCACATATATAATGTATAAGAGAGGAATTATTCTGCAGCAAATTGCTTAAAAGATTTGAGTTCCCCTTTCTCACATCCTTGCTAGCATTTGCTGTTAGGGGAGATGGGATGTCTTGTGGTAACCCGCAGGAAGGGTACTAGAACAGGAGTACCCACCTTCAATTTCTAATAGATATGACCTGAACTCAAGGGTGGTAGTCAGGTTTTTATATTAGCCTGTATCACAGTGTTAGGTGTCTGGAGGAGGAACCTGAGTGACAGTCCTAGGTGAGTGATTCCTCCCCCCTTCTCTATTGTAACCTCCAAGGTTTGGGATGATTATCTGCTGTTTCTGTACTGTATTCTCGATTGTCTCTTAGTTGGTGTTCAGCTTCCTGCTGAAACCTGACTCTGGGAAGTAATTTCTTGTCTCTTACTGTCCTGCCTCAGAGAGTGCCCTATATGTAGCCCTTCATCTCTGAATCCCAGGACAGCGGTTTGAAGGCAGAACTACCAATGCTTAACTATATATCTTTATATTTTGTGCAGGTCTTTAATAAGTGCTCTGTTACCATCCCCTGTGGGTTTTTTGTTTCAGAAGAACTTTATGTGAGGTAAAATGAATTACCATCTCAAAGGGAAGACAAGACTCACTGGAGAGACTGAGGCTGAATTAGAAAAATGTAGACCATTCAGCACCAAGGCTGGGAAATGCCAAGTCAGCTGCCAGGTCCCCTGGATAGGGGAAGTTGAGACTCATTTCCCAGAACAGGCAGAGGGTAGAAAGGATCCCCAAGCCTCCATGGAAAGCCATGAACAGATCAAAATCAACCTACAACTCAGGAACTTATTTGGGAGAAGAAATGGAAGAGAGGCTGTGAACACAGGAAGGCAAAATAAGAGACTGATAAATGACTTGGGAGGTAGATGACCAGGAATCTCTAAGACACACTGCTTAGAGTACTGATCACTTGAGTTCACATATAGCTGATCCCAGTGCATAAAGTCATAGAAATAAAACCAGACGTAAACATATAAACGATTTATAATCACTTGTGACCAGATAAACAAAGTACATAGAACTCCTGCTGTTTTCCTGACACAGGGAAAAGTAAAGTGCAGAATTTCACATTATTGACAAGCGAAATGGCACAGCCCATCGTTGGTTAGAATGTGAACAGAGCCCTTCAAGCATTACTTGAAGCCACTACAAAATTTCAAAACTGTCTTCTATCTTATTGAGACATTCTATATTCAAGCATCAACTCTGTGGAGACATATATGCATTCTCTTCCCCCCTCCCAACACACAGATAAGCAGGGGGTTCTCATTATAACATCTTTTGTATGTGTTTTACTGGAAACAAACCAAATAGCCACCAATAGCAGAATGATTGAATAAACATTGATTTATCCAAACTTTGCTTATTGAGTGATTTATGAAAATATCATCGATTTATTTGGACTAAGGAAGACAATGTAAATAACAGATTATTCAGAAATATAGCTGCTGGGTAATATGTATGCAGTGAACATTATGCTTTAAATTCACACTATTCACATGTGTGTGTGTGTGTGTGTGTGCATGTGTGTGTGTGCTGAGTGCA